ACCTACTCATTGGGTGCAAACGGTAGACTTTTATCCCCGTGCCAGCCAGCAATGCTCAAGTGTATGAAAAAGTGTAGTCCCTGTAATCCAATCAGTCCCTGATAGACACTTGGATTGGATTGCATCCAACTGGCCTCTAGTTCACCCGCCGAAAATGGCGCGACCGTATTATCCGATGACCATTCACGTTTCACACACCGGGGCTGGTAGTTGATAGTTAGATTGTCAAATAGGCTACCAGTGCCCACACAGTAGCCATCCTTGTAATGGCCGGCCCAACCCAAGTCACGCCAAACGCACGATTTCCAGGGTTCGGCAAAATCGTTCGCATAATTCTGTGAGGAAGGGGAGGGTAGGGTCAAGTGTGTCGACAAAAAAAATATAAATATTAATTGTTTTAATGTTTTGTATGTAAAATCATAACTTTTACATTGAATGATAATTTTTTTCAAATAAATACTGTTTTCAAAAAACTTCAAATTTCAAAAAATTTATACTAAAATAAATTATATATCATAATTAAAAATTAGTTATTATTATAGTTACAGTTTGATAATAATCAATAAAAAGTTTAATTTATATTTTTTTTATTTAGTAATTACTGGTAAATCAACTGTTCTTTAAAAATACTTACAAAAAATATATTAAATAAAATTATTTTACTATTTTATATTTTTTACTATTTTATTTTTTTACTATTATTCAATTATCATTATCATAGAAATAAAATAACAAATTGATAATTAAAAAAATATTATTAATATATTTAAAAAAAACTATTATTATTTATTTATTATAAGTATATAAATGTTTAGACACTGCTTATAAATTATTAAATTAAATACTAACCAACAACAAAAAAAATATAATTATTAGTTAATAAAGTACTATACATACCCAATAGGGTAGACCCGATAATGTCGGATCCAGTTTCCACAGTTCACGTTCAATGGCCAGATTGAAGGCCCGATGAAACTCATTGAACTCGTATGTCTTATGCCAGGCAGTCCACCAGCGATTATGTAGTTCACTATACGACTGGACAATACCCCGACTATATAGTTGACGTATGGATCGGATAAACCGGTGACGTTCATCCGCGGACAAACATTTCCAATCTTTTTGTATGTATAGCGACTTACAGGGCGGTCGGACCGGTCGGACACCCGATTCATAGTAGAACCGGTACTGTAGATAACGTTTGACATTATCTAACTCCTGTTGCGACCATTGTTGCCGATGATGACACCGACAATAGATATCCGTATCGCATGATTTGTCGTTATTATTATTAGCACCTGTAGTCGTGTCCATCAATAGTATTATTGATAGTATTATTATTATAATAATTATTTGGATTAGCAAATAGTTTTTATTTATCATATTTTAATGGATTAATAGATATATATATATATATATATATATAGAGATAGAAATATATAAAATTTTTGATAAAAATTATTGATAAAAATTATTGATAAAAATTATTGATAAAAATCAAATTAAATTAATAACATTTTCTTAAAAATGAAAACTTAATTATTTATTATTATTATTATTTAATTGAAAGTTATATTTTTTTAATAATAAACTAATTATTTATATTTTGTTTTGAAGTTTTGAAGTTCATTAAACTAAATAAATATTTTACTAAATATACTACTAATATATTTTTTTTGTTAGTCTAAATATAATTTTTGTTTAATATTATAAAACATTTTTTAATTAATGTTTTTTATATATATAAAAAAAGAGTTCATTACCACATTAATTATATGTCTACAATGTTTAAATAAAAACTAGATATAAAAATTAATTTTAAAAATTAATTAATTTATATTATTTATCATAACATTTAATGTAAACTTAATACCATTTATTGGGTTTTTTTATATTAACATTTTTTTTTGTTTTATAATTATTTTTTAAAAAAGTGATAATAAATTTATTAATAAAAACTAAGTTGAAAATGCTAGATAGTTTATAAAACAAACTTTAATTTTTAATTACTTAATAATATAACCATAAATACAATTATTGTATTATTATTTATGAATATATTATAAATGATATTAAATTTTAAATAAAAATTTTCCATACAAACTAATATACAATATTGATTAAAAAAAAGTGTATATGAATAATACATGTGTATAATATTTAAAGTAAACTTTAAAAAAAAATAATATTAAAAATTATAGATTTTTAATATATATATGCCTGTATATATATAAATGACTTATTTGTTACTATAAATAGTAATAACAGTTAATATAAATTAATAAATAAAATTTATAATATTAATAACCAAAAAAATAATATAAACTAATTATTATTGCTATTATTATTATTACTACTACTACTAAATAATGAACTAAATTTATCGGACATCGATTTGACTAAATCAGTCAAACTGGTCGTAACGGCTACGCCGCCCAACAGCGTCGTTATACTCAGCCAGTCGTGTGTCCGGTCGAGGGGTAAACCGAAATACTGGTTAACCATTGTCTGCATAATAGGCATTATATCGTTCCGTCGGAAATTCCAGTTCCCATAATCTTCGAGCATCGTCGAGCAGTCTGGCCTGATATCCGGATCCGAGCTATGCATTTGACGCAAACATCGGTACGTCCTCAGCAACAGTGGTCGACATTCTGGTGTAACCAAACCGTCCAAACATGTTATATCACTTTAGATTTTATATCAAAATATATTTCATTCAATTAAATCATATTATATATACCGGTATATATATATCAGGATTGCGAAAGGTTTTTTGATCTCAGGGGGGGTATAGGGGGTGGTAAAATGTCGAAAAAGCTTGGCGGGGTATTGGGGGGGGGGGGGTGGGGGTGGTGAACAATTTTTATTGCATTTTTAAACGACAATTTTTCCCAAATTTGTGTAAATTCTAATAAATTCCCACTAAATTCCCACTAAATTTTACACTAAATTCCCACTAAATTCCCACTAAATTCCCACTAAATTCCCACTAAATTCCCACTAAATTCCCACTAATTCCCACTAAAATCCCACTAAAATACCACTAAATTCCCACTAAATTCCCACTAAATTCCCACTAAATTCCCACTAAATTCCCACTAAAATCCCACTAAATTCCCACTAAATTCCCACTAAATTCCCACTAAATTCCCACTAAATTCCCACTAATTCCCACTAAAATCCCACTAAAATCCCACTAAAATCCCACTAAAATCCCACTAAAATCCCACTAAAATCCCACTAAAATCCCACTAAAATCCCACTAAATTCCCATTAAATTATCATTACCCCCCTACCCCCTATCGCAACCCTGATATATATTGAAATAATAATTAATTAATTAATATTTTTTTTAATATATACTTTTCGGCAAACATTTTGTCCACTTCCGATACATCGCTGACCAAACCAAACATTTTGCAACCAATTACCGAAACACTGAATATATCGGACCGATAATCATAGTCAATGTCCTGGCCGTAAATACCAGCCTTGAGTTGGCTGAGAATTTCGGGTGCCGTATAGTAGTTGATACCGGCACCTTCGGGCCGTTTACTTTGGCCACTATCGCTAGTGGCCCAACCGAAATCGCATAGTTTTATATAGCCGTCGCCGTGAATAAAGCCCCGCAAGTCGACCAATAAATTGTCCGGTTTAAGATCACGGTGTATGACTGGCCGGGGTGTTAGTTGGTGTATGTGTGCGACGGCTTTCAGCAGTGCCTCGAATGCGGCGGCCGTTGTATAGTATTCTAGTTTGTCCATTGGCTGCTGCTGCGGGTGGTGGTGGCCACCGCTACCGAGACCTAGACCGCTACCGAGACCTAGACCGCGACCGAGACTGAGAGCGACACCGACACCGAAACCAAAACAACGATCACTACCACTACCGCCATCACCACCACTACCGAGACATTTACCGCAACTGCGGCCAAATATTTCCCGTATAGCGTCCATTGCTTTGTCCAGATTGCCGGTACATAACTCTTGTAAAACATAAATTTGTTCGTAGGTTTGGCCATTATTTTCACGTATGATTTTCATCCGATGTCCATAATAGCCGACAACATAGCGGCTACTGTTGCCCTGTGAGGCCAATTCCAATCGGCTGATCTCTGATATCAAATCACTTAACGATTGTCGGTTTTCTTCGGTAATTTCGGCAACTTTTTATTTAATAATAATAATAATATATTTAATAAACAATATATTTAATAAATAATATATTTAATAAATAATATATTTAATAAATAATATATTTAATAAATAATATATTTAATAAATAATATATTTAATAATTAATGTTAAATTAAATTAATACATAATAATTAAATAATAAATTATTGTCTATATACTGTATAGTAATTATATCATTAATATTAAAATATTTATTATAAAAAATATATATTATTAAGTTATTTAAGTTAATTTATTAATTTAATAAAAATTATGTACTCTCTCTCTCTCTCTCTCTCTCTCTCTCTCTCTCTCTCTCTCTCTCTCTCTCTCTCTCTCTCTCTTGTTGCCCGAACCCCAGTTATATATATATACAATATATACTAATTATAATGTATATTACTATTAATATGACAACCATATATCCCAATCCAATCCATACCTTCGACAACTTTCATGGCATACCATTTCTGGCTTATCCGTCTACGGTATCCAACTTTATAAACTTTCCCATAAGTGCCATCACCTATGAGTTTAGCTCCATGTCCAATTTGATTAATCATATGATCATAATGACTATCAGATACTTAACAAAAAAATTAACAAAAAAAACATTATAATAAAAAAATATTAATTTAATTTTTTTTGTTAACTTTTTAAAAAAAAAATTAATATCAAAATCGATAGAAATGTTATTTAAGTTTTTATTAATAAAATATCTATACATATGTATACATAACTTACTTTTACTTAAAGCCATAGTTGTATGTCTATTTAATTGAGATAACTGTCCTCATTAGTAATGGTATGGCAGGCCTATGATTGGCTTTTATAGGATATATACATTAGTTTTTATATTATATAATTTTTTAAATATAATATGATATTTAATATATATATATAATATTATTCAAAAGCAATATTTAAATTACATATTATTTATCAATACATACAATTGGTATTCAAAAAATAAATATCAGATTATTTTATTTATTTATTTAGTTAAAAATCTATATAATATGCTATAATATTGAATTTAGTAGTTGTTATTTAATATCATTAGTAAAAAGTTTTGTAATACAATATAGCGTATTATATATATATATCATATGACGTAAAGTTATAGATAATTTTTTTTGTATAAATATAATACTGTAAAGCAATATTATTTAATGTATTTTTTATTTAAAAAAAATTAGACCTTTGAAATAAACACAAAAAATGTTTTATTGTAATTTAATATATAGTATTTTACAACAACAACAACAACAACAATATATATATAATATAATTGAAAATAAATAATTATAATATTTTATTAAATGAATATCACAATTTTTTTTTATAGAAATTATTACTTTTTTTGAATTATTATTTACCTATCTTTAATTATAGTTTAACTTAATCTACATAGTCTACTAATAATCTAATAAATAAATATACTTTTAAAAAAATATTGTTTTTATCATCAGTATTGTAGACTTGAAATAATTTATCGCACGCTTTGTTTTTTATTTGCAATCAAATGTTATTTACAAATAATGTAATTTAAAAAAATTGTTTTCAGATAAGTGGGTATAGATTTCTAATATTTATATATAATATTATTTTTAATAATTTAATTTACTTATAGCTTAATCATTATAAAAAAATAACCAATTATTTATATTAAATTAACATTTAATGATAGTTTAGAAATTATAAAAAATAATTCAATTCTATAATTATTAATGTATTAGTTATCATTTATAAATAAAAATTATAATTTATTAATTAATTATCCTAAATATGTGTGATTGTTAAAAAAAATCATTATAAAAAATCTCAAAAAAATTGATATTAAGTAATATAAAAACTAAATCTTTATAAATATAATAAAATAGTAAACTTTATAATATTTCTATATAATAGATTTATAAATTACAATTTAATATGTGATAACTTAAAGTTTATAAAAATTTTATTAATAATTTTATTCTGTATTTTTTTTTAGTATAAAACAATTTATTAATAACTTAAAGTTTAATGCTTAAAAATATTTTATTATAACTTTTATTATAACAATTGCTATTTTCATAAATTAAATATATTAGTAAACATTTAATTTATTTTATATATAGATATCATATATAGTGCACTATATAACTAAATTTTAATCAAATATGTCATTTTTATTTAACGACTACAACACCGACATTGGCCGCCAACCAGACAACACTGAGGGTATGAACCACTGCAACAATAGTAGGCCGAACAGGGAGACGAACATATATAACAGTCATTGGATTTAATACCAGTGCTGTTAACAATCATATGACCTATAAATGTATGGATCGGTAGGTAATTACTAATTTAATACTGAATTTTAGATTTAAAAATATCATATAATTATTGAATGCAAACCCTCTTCAAAGTCATAGACTTTTTTCATTGTCTTTGAATAATCCAAATCATTGTCAGACAAAACTATTAGTAAATAAAAAAATTAATTAATATTTTTTAAATAATAGTTTAGTTTATATTAAAAAAATATATATAATACAAACCCAAAGCAATGAATGCCATCAACAAAACCGATACAACTATTGAACGCATTGTTATAATTGTAATATTAGTTTTAATAATTATATTAACAAATATAATATTTATGTTTGTTTTCCCTATAAACTAATTTCAATGTCTTTATATACCTTAAAATTTTATTTTTTTTTATTTACTCAATTATAACATTTAATAAATGCAATTATTTTATCTAAACGTTTACAATACTATTTTTTAATAAATAAATATTACTTATCACTTATAATAAGATAGTATTATATAATTAATTTTACTAAATAATAATGATAATTTTTTTCAAAAAACAAAATTATCGATTACATTTATTAGACTTTTCTAGTAATTATTTGTATTTATTAAATAGATATTAGTGGATAAATTTAAAAATAAAAACATGATATTTCTGATATTTAGTAATTTTTTTGTTGTTGAATATATGTAAATATACTGTAATTTTTTTAATCAATTATTAGCGCAATACGATAAACTTATTTCAATAAACAATTTGCATTTATTTTTATTATAATTTAGTTTTTTTTAATGAATTATATCTATTTATTTAGTTAATAAAAACTTTTAATTAAGATGAAATATAATAATTTTTTTTAGATTATTAACTTTACAATTATAAACATAATAAATAAATAAAAATTATAAAATGTGTAAAAATAATTTAATTATTATTATTTTATAAATATATTATACTAATATTTCTAATATAATTTACATCTATAATTTAAGTTATCATTTATCATTATTTTATTATCTCAAAGATATTGCAATTGGTTTCTATTAAAAGATGAAATATATTGAACTTATCCAACAAACAAAAAAAAGCAAATAAAAAAAATAAAAACAATTTGATATTTAACTGATAATAAGTGTATATTATATAATAAAATTTATGTTTATTTATATAACAGTTTAGTATTGTATTAAATTGTAAATAATCTGTTTTTACCTGATAACTTAATTAATTTTTTTTAAAAATAATTTTTTGCAATTAATCACTATTTACACTTTAAAAAATAATAAAAATAATAATAATTGATTATATTTAAATCTAACTTAACTTGTTACTATGTAATTAGGAAATATAATATAATAAATATAATTATTGCAAACATTCAAAAAAAATTATTGTAATAAATAGATTAATTATTTATACCTTTTTATTTAATTTGTTATTTATAAGATAAAATTATATTATTAATTAAATGTTATTAATTATTTAAGTTATTATTAATATATTTTCATTGTTTAATATGTAATATATTTAAACAATAACTACAGTAAAATTTAATTATATATTTTTAAATTTGTATCCTATAATTTTTTTTAAAAAATGATAATATTAATTAATAACATAGTTTAAAATAAATTTTATAAACTTAATTATAATTGCTAAAATTATTTATTAAAAATTTCATTTTTATATAGTTTATTTTTTTATTAATAAATTAATTTATTACAAAATGTATTTTTGTTAATAATTATAATTTCCAATATTTTTATTATAGTTGTTTAATTGAAATAATTTATCGCACATTTTGATATTATATAATACAGTACAAGAAAAATTATTTACATAACCATTATTACCACTTAAAGATTGTTTAGAAATACATATAATAAGAAAATATATTATATTACATAATATTTATGTATATTAATGATAAGTCTTTATAGTTATAATTTTTTTAGCAAATATTTACTTAATAGTGTTAATTAATATAAAATATAATATTATTAAATATTTCTACTGTATAAATATACATTAATTATAAGTTGTATCAATATTAAGCAATTTATTAAATTTATTAAATGATAATTACAGTCGATAAATATTAATTAAATTTTATTTTATTATACACTAAAAACATAATCTAATTTCGTATCGTAAAAATATTGATATCATTAACTTTAAACTTTAATAACTTTTTTATTTTTTAACTTAAATAAACAAATTTGATATCAAATAATAGAGTAATAAATCACAATTAAATTGATATACTAGATGGTCAAAACAATGGTTTAAAGAACAAAATATATCAAGGTAAAGTTATAGGTGTTAATAATTTAGGTACAAAAATTATTTTCGTGTTTTTAAAACGCGCGTGATTTCAGACACATTGTTGGGACCAATTGATTCCAATGCATTGTTATTAATTTGAATACACGTAAATAAACAGTAAATGCAGTGATTATCATAAAAATGGTTAAAATACAAGAATTTTCAGATGCAATTCGCCAACAAATGTATGATATGAGAGTCAGCACCGGAAAGTCATACGCAAAAATAGCGGAACTGTTTACAACAACTGATAATACTGTCCGATCAATTGTAAAGAAAGTCGAAAAGTACGGGACAGTTAGAAATCTCGCAAGAAGTGGTCGAAAAAGATGTACCAGTGCTAAACAGGACAGGATATTGAGTCGAATTGTGGCAAAAAATAAGAAGTTGACCACCGATGAGATTAAGGAAGAGTTGGCCGCCAGAAACATTTTGTGTCACAGAAACACTATTAGACACCGGATTCAAGAAATGGGTTATTACAGTGGTATTGCGCGAAGACGTCCAATGATAAGCCTAACAAATCAGAGAAAACGATTAGACTTTGCACGAAAGTACATCCGGATGCCTATGTCATACTGGAGGAAGGTCTTGTGGTCAGATGAGTCAAAATTTGAGATTATTAGTACTAAACGTCGCCAACGAGTGTTTAAAAAGAGAGGCGAAAGCATTAATCCTGATAATATATGTCCAACTGTGAAGCACTCGAAATCAGTTATGGTATGGGGGTGTATGACAGGCCAGGAAGTTGGCCATTTGGTCGAAATTCCATCAACTATGGACCGCTACATTTACGTTAACGATATTTTGACCCCACATTTGCTTCAGAGTGCCAGAGATCTACAAATAAGCGATGATTTTTTATTTCAAGCGGACAACGACCCAAAGCACACATCAAAATTGGCAAAGAAATGGTTGTCTGACAATCAAATTGAGACACTTGAGTGGCCGCCACAGAGCCCTGACCTCAATATTATTGAACATCTATGGGATGAATTGGACAGACGTGTGCCAAAGAGCGAAAGAAAAAGTTTTTCTGCGTTTAAAGAGTCGTTATTTAATGTCTGGAAAAATATACCTGAAGAAGTCACAGAAAAGCTGATCCAAAGTGTTCCAAGAAGATTGCAGGCTGTGATTGATGCCAACGGAGGCAATACTCGATATTAATATTGTTTTTACTAAATTAATA